AGCAGGGAGCCCGATGTGGGGCTCGATCCCAGGACCCCGGGATCATGACCTGAGCCGAAGGCAGACGCTTAATGACTGAGCCACCCAGGCACCCCAGTGCTGGCATTCCTGTCAAAAGCAAGTGGCATTTAGAACTAGCATCCTTTGACTTACGTCAGCAATAAGTTAAATGTAACTGTGGAAGTATATTTTTTCAACAGAGAAGGGAAAGTTAACATTTGATGAATTTATAGATGATTTATCTCATTTTTGATGTTGGAAGTAGATAGCTATAGGTCAGGGTGTTTTTAGTTAGGTTAAAGCCTGTCTTTTTTGTTAACTGTTAGTAATGATTCTAGGATGTGTAATTATGTTATATCAGGTGTGGGTTTTTTTCTTTTAATCTGTTTTTTTTTTAATCTGTAGAGTGGTGGACATGACAACAAGGTTAATTGCATACAGTGGCATCAAGACAATGGCTGTTTGTATAGTTGTTCAGATGATAAACATATTGTGGAATGGAATACACAGACATGCAAAGTAAAGTGGTGAGTAATGTTGATGGTTCCATAGTACTGGAGGGGTAACTTGTTACTGTTGCATTAGAGTTGGACAAATCAAGACTGTGTTCTTGGCTGTAGGCCAAGTTTGATACTGGACACAGAGGAATGTAGATACTAAACTAGACTTTTCAAGGAATTTTTAATTAAATCAGGCATGTAAGATTTTAATACATAAACGTTAAATAATGATGCAAGAGTAAAATAATTGCACAGGAGATACCATAAGATAGCATGCAATTACTGGTCAAATGAGTTGGATAGTGTTGGCAAGGTCTGGTGGAAGAGAAGAGATTTCAGTTGGGCCTTCTAGGAGAGGTTAGATTTGGATAGAAGAGGGTGGGGGAAGGGAGGTGGGCAGATGGCAAGACCAAAGGCTAGGAGAAAGGGCAGTGAAAGATTTAGAGGATTTACATACTAGGGCATAATGGCTGATAGAGGACATGGGCCAAAGTATCTTAAGAGTCTGGCCTTAACTGTCATAGATGAAAATCTCAGGTGACTCTTCTAGTTCAAGCACCTAATCTTATCATAAGCTTTGTAGTAAATGTTGAATTGATTCAACTTAGGCAGATAAGGACCCTAGGAAGGATAATGATGCTCATGGTCTTACAGCTAATAAGTGGCAGAGAAGTTCTTATCATACTGTCTTGAATTCTGGTACAGTGTTCTTTTTTTTTTTAAGATTTATTTATTTATTTATTTGAGAAGAGAGCACATGAGAGGGAGTAGGGTCAGAGGGAGAAGCAGACTCTCTGCTGAACAGGGAGCCCGATGTGGGACTCGATCCTGGGACTCCAGGATCATGACCTGAGCCGAAGGCAGTCACTTAACCAAATGAGCCATCCAGGCACCCTCTGGTACAGTGTTTTTCTACTGTATTAAAACTATTTTCTTGGAGTTTTAGATTCTATGTTGTAAACAGGAGAGCGCCACTAAAGGTACTGTCTTAGGAATAAAGTCACCAAGATAATGCTTTAGGATAAGGTCATCTGCCAGCATTGTGTAGAGTAAATGGAAGGGAGCTGGTTCAAAGGCAGAGAAGCCATTAAAAAACAAAACAAAACAACAAGGCAGAGAAGCTAGATTCCAGGTGGTTGTAGTAGATCAAGAGTGGGATGTAAGAGTGGGAAATGAGAATGGAAAAGATACCACCTAAGAACATTTGGGTAGCATGGAAGGGGGTATTAAGTAACAGCAATAAGTTAAATGTAACTCTTCAGTTTTCAGCTTTGTGAATTTACTAGGTGAGTAGAGGTACAGTTCGTAGGAATTATGGCCAGAAGAGGGAAATGGTTTTGCGTTTTCAGACAAGTTGAATTTGAAATAATACATGAAAGGCAAGACTCAGCGGATGAGGTGGTGATGGAGGCTTAGAATTTGAAGGAGGGTTTGGGGCAGGAAGTATAGATGAATAGGTCATCTGCCTAGAGGTTCGGTAGGTGTCTTCATTTACATGTGGCAGTAGTTTTCTCCACTGATGACTGTCAGAAACACCTGTGGAGATTCTCACCCCCTAGGTCTGGGGTGGGACCATGCCAGTCTAATTTTAAAATGCTGTCTGGATGAGAGTTCCTAATGTCAAGTACTTCACGTAGGGGCTACTAATGTTCAAGGCTCTGTTCACATTGTACACAGTGTTGGATTTTTTTTTTTCTTTTAACGCTGTGAGGTAGGCTCTACAGTTGAGAAATAGGTTGGATCCGAGCCTGAGCTCATCCACACTATAGTCCCATAGGATATTGTTCCCAACTTCATTCTTGGCATCCTTATGCTGCTGTTAAGATACTTTGGCTCATGTCCTCTATCAGCCATTATTCCCTAGTGTGTAAATCCTCTAAATCTTTCACTGCCCTTTCTCCTAGCCTTTGGTCTTGCCATCTGCCCACCTCCCTTCCCCCACCCTCTTCTATCCAAATCTAACCTCTCCTAGAAGGCCCAACTGAAATCTCTTCTCTTCCACCAGACCTTGCCAACACTATCCAACTCATTTGACCAGTAATTGCATGCTATCTTATGGTATCTCTTGTGCAATTATTTTACTCTTGTATCATTATTTAATGTTTATGTATTACTTGCATGCCTGATTGATTAAAAATTCCTTGAAAAGTCTAGTATCTACATTCCTCTCCATTTTAGGTACTATGTGTTGACTTCCTACCATGGAAGATGAGGTTTTAGCTCTCGGCCTCTAGCCTCTCCCCTCTCCATTCTCCCAATATTGGTGCATCACAGTTTTTGATGAAGGACTATTCATTGTTTGCATTAAATATTATTACAGATGAGCCTTGTACTCTACCAGGTTTTTATTATTTCCTGGCACAAAACTGATTTTCTTGGGGTGTGTAATTGCCTTTTTGTTCATTTGCTTAGTTTTGTATATACCTATCATTAGCTCATTTTCACCCTCACGGTAGCATGTTATTTTGGGGCATATCAGTTAATCAGTCGTATTTATTTCTTGAAGGCTTCCCTCCAGTTTCATCTATTTCTTGGAGGACTTCTCAGCTTTCTTCTGTGATCTGCTGAACAGCAATGATCCTGGGATTTTCTTTCATTATCATTTTGAAAATTCTCTTGTCAGATGGATCCTCTATGTCTTGGATCCCATTTTTCTCTTTGTTGGGTTACTCTCTTCTTTTTTGTGAAACACATCAATCGGTAGCTTCCTAAGAAAAGTATGAGGATGGTAAATTTAGTGAGATTTTGCTTGTCTACTAGCACCTTTATTGTATCCTCACAGTTGATTTATAGTTTGAAGATAATTTTAGGTTGGAAATAATTCTCCCTCAGGATTTTGAAGCATTGGTTTATTGGTTTATTTATTTATTTGTTTTTGCTTCGTTGGTTCTTAGCTCTCAGTACTAATTGACCTTATGTTCTAAAATATCCAGTGCATTTTTAGTCTGTGAATTACATTGGCGCACAGGGGACCATTTAGCCCAGGAGTTCTGTGTTCTTCATTTTTCTTTTAGTGTGTATTTGACAATTTCATCCCTCTGTTGTCTTTGACCTTTCTCTAAGGACAACCTATTATTACTTAGATGTTGTATCTCGTGGACTGATCCCTTAAATTTATTCTCTCTTATTTTCCCTTTTGTCCTTTTGTTACTGGGGAGATTGCCTCAGTTTCATCTTCCACATCGTCTAGTGAATTTTTAAATTTCTCTAACCATTTTTTTTAACTTCTGGGAGCTTTGTTTTTGTTCTCTTAATTTTCTTTTTGTTGCACCATGTTTCTTTCCTGGATATAATATTTTCTAACTCTCTGAAGATAATTAAAGGATTTAAAGTATTTTTCTTTTATTCCTTACATCATCTCCCTCTTGAGGATGTTTTTGATTTTTGTTTGATTTTAGCCTCTTTTATGTTAAAGGCATTCTTCGAATGACTGTGGATCCTTGGCTGCCTGTTACTATTTGAAAATGAAACATTCAAAAGCTGATTGGAAGGCCTGTGTGGGTGGGTGTCTCAATTGCTGGGCTTCATTTGTAGAGTGATGGGGAAGCCTTCACATGTCAGTATGTGTGGGTTATTACTTTGGTACCAGTCACATTTCCTAGAGAGGAATCTTTTAATCTAGTGCTTTTCAAGCTCTGATGTGCATGTGAATTACTTGTGCAGACAGAGCTGTTTTAATAGGTCCAGGTGGGGTTTGGGAATCAAGTCTAATCAGTCTCCAGGTGATGCCGGTGTAGGAGGTTACAGTGTGAGTTGCACAGCTCTTACTGGGGGATGGGAGGGAGCTGTGGCAGTGGTGTTAGTTTTCTGCTGGCGTGTTAGTGCTGAGTGGCAAGATGGACTCAGGGAAGCTTGTCAGGTGGTGATCCTGTCTTTTTTATGTATGTCAAGTGAATAGGTGTGGAATAAGGAATATAAAATGTTGAAGCTCTGGGACAATTTGAAAAATTGTCAAAAGTTTTAGCTGAAAAGGGTAAAGGAAAAGGTCTCCTACATTATTGCTACATCTCCTTGATTACTTGAATCAAGTAATCGTTTTCATGTTTATTGACAATTTGAATTTCTTGTATGAATTGCCTGTTTATATCTTTTGTGTATTTTTATTTTGAGTTCATTTTTTTTGAACTTGAGCTATTTCTTGAATACAGAGTGTTTATGTATTCTGAATATTAATCCTTTTCTTATATATTTTTGGTATTTTCTAGCCTTTTGCATTTATTTTATTTATTTTTAAAGATTTTATTTATTTATTTGAGATAGAGAGTTTGAAGGGGTGGAGGAGGAGGGGGAGAGGGAGAGAGAGAAGCATATTCCCCGCTGCGCAGGGAACCTGATGCGGGGCTCGATCCTAGGACCCTGAGATCGTGACCTGAGCCGAAGGCAGATGCTTAACTGACTGAGCCACCCAGGTGCCCTTAGCCTTTTGCTTTTAAGTTTGTGACTTATTTTGTGGTACAGAAGTTCTTTTTATTTAAATCAGGTTATTTTTTGCTGTTATGATTTCTGATTTGTAACTGCTTTGGAAGACCTTTCCAAAGGGATAGAATGGACTTGTGGTCCTGGTATCCAGTCTGATAGTTTCCTGGGCATTAACAAAATCTACTTCATAGATCACAGGATACACAACTACCCATTTTACATTTTTAAAACTCTTACTCTTCCATTTTCTGGAACCTCTTGAGAATCTGTTTTATTGGGCAGGCAGGCTTTACCTTAGTGTTCAAGGTTAGTCACCTGACACAGGCTTTTAAAGAATGTAATGTGGCATAGAACCTTAAGTGATATTTTTAATGCCTGATTTGCTTTTTGCTATCTTTTTGCTCTGAGTAAAGTTTTCTCCCTATTCATTGAGGCGTTTTTGTTTCTCTTCACAATACAGCAAATGGAAAGGCGACAATAGCAGTGTCAGCTCCCTGTGTATCAGCCCAGATGGAAAGATGTTGCTTTCAGCTGGTCGAACAATCAAACTGTGGGTTTTGGAGACCAAAGAAATCTACAGAGTGAGTGAATCAAATTAGTTGTAAGCCTAACAGTCATCTAGAATAAGTATGGAGAAGGGCAGAAAGTCTGAGCTGTAGCATATTGTTTTAAGAATACAGATTTGCTATTTTCATGCATATCAAATAGTGGAATCAGTAGACAAAAGTTAGCCTCCACACCTGGTTTGTTGATATTAAATAGGTTAGATGTGTTCATTTCACATGCATTTGAAAAACGAATAGAACAAATAAGTAGAATTTGAATTAAAAATCTTTTATTCTGCTGTGGAATGATAGTAGTTTTGATTCCTAGCTTACATCCAGCATTTAGTACATTCACAGTATTTGACTATGGAGACGTAGTATTATGTTTTGAGTGTGCTCAGGGGTGTACTTTTGGTGCTGTGATGATGCCCTAAAATTGTGGTTTCGACTCACTGAGAGTAAAATGAGGACCTACAATTCCTTGGCTGTGTCTGAGCACCCAGGCACCCCTTTAAACACGGATAGAATTAAGTGGATCTTTAATGCAAAAATGGAAGAAAGAAAGATTGTGGGTAGGACCCTGGGAGTTAGAAGGATGTCCTGATTTTTCAGTATTTTCAGATGGGAGTTTTTAAAAGTGAGAGGAATTTAGCACAAATAGCCTCAGTTGCTTAGAATTAAATTTAGCTGTTACCTTTAGTCTGGAGTTCTGATTTCAGATGTGGCTCATATGTATTGCTTATGGTCCAGATGGACTCTTTAATTTTTGTTACTGCTCTGTTCCCTCTCCTAAATGAGATTTAACTTTCTCTAGCACTTCACAGGCCATGCAACGCCAGTTTCGTCACTCATCTTCACTACTATCAGACCTCCTAATGAGAGCCAACCCTTTGATGGAATCACTGGTCTTTATTTCTTGTCTGGAGCAGTACATGACCGGTTACTCAATGTCTGGTATGTAGTCTTTTGGATCTGGGAGGTAGCATTGCCTTGAAAGAATGTGTCACAACTTGTATCGTTAGTATAAATGATGAATGTGAGACTTAACTATTGTATTTAGTATTAGATTTACCTTGACTTGTAATAAAGAATTGAGCCTGCCTAAAAAACAGATCTTTATGAGAAAAATTTAAGAGCATTATATAATAGAACCTCCTTTTTGCTTGTTTAGACGGTAGAGCAGTCTGAATATTTTTGTGACTGGGCAAATTATAAATAACCTTCTTAAAAAAATTGGGATAATCTCTGATTTTGTTGAAATAGGACTTCTGGGTTAGTGCAGTAATGTCTATTTACCGATCTTTTACTGAAGACATTTAATTCCTTGGTTTTGTATGAAAATTCCCAATTAGGCACCGCCCCCCCATTTTTTTGTTTTGTTTTGTTTTTTTCTTCTTTTTGCAATAGTTGTTGTTACTAATTTTCCTTGGAACTCCCTTTTTTTTCCCCCCAAGATTTTAAGTAGTTGACAACCAGTGTGGGGCTTGAACTTAACAACCTCAAAATCAAGAGTCACGTGCTCTGTTGACCCTGGCTTGCTAGCTTGCTTGCTTGCTTTCTTTTGATAAAATGTTCAGCGATTCATTAGTTGTATAGTAACATCCAGTGCTCATCACATCACGTGCCCTCCTTAATCCCATCACCCAGTTGCTCCCTCCCCCCCTTTCACAACGTTTGTTTCCCGGAGTCAAGAGTCTCTTATGGTTTGTCTCCCTCTCTGATTTCTTCCCATTCAGTTTTCCCTCCCCTCCCCTATGTCCTCTGCACTATTCCTTATATTCCACATATGAGTGAAACCTGGCACTACATTTATTTATTATTTTTAAAGATTTTATTTATTTGATAAAGAGACAGAGAGGGAACACAAGCAGGGGGAGTGGGAGAGGGAGAAGCAGGCTCCCCTTGGAGCAGGGAGCCCTGAGACACGGGGCTCTATACCAGGACCCTGGGATCACAACCTGAGCTGAAGGCAGACGCTTAACGACTGAGCCACCCAGGCGCCCCCTGGCACTACTTTTAAAAGTAAAAATTAATTTGGTATTATGGCCATTGGAAAGTTTTTAATTTTTAGAAAACAAGAGTTTTCTTAGATTTTATGAGATCTGATGGTGAAGCTTTTTTTTTTTAAACCTGCTATTCATGGACAGAATAAATGGAGATTTAAAAAACAAGTAGTTTTTCATCCTAGTAATCAATTAGTTGAGCTTGTTCTTGACCATATAAAGTTACTATGAATTTACACCAAATAATACTCATACAGAAGTAGGCTTCATCAAATATGTAATCTTGACATAGTTGGGAGGGGACAGGTTCATGAGGCCTAATGTGGACCTCTGTTCACCTTCAAACTATCAGCTGAGCCATAGTTTCTAATTATGCCTCTGCTAATCACATTGTGTTGGTTTTCTGTCCTTCGTTTGGTTTTTGAGGCGTGCCTATTGGGATAATTCCTTTTAGTCTATGTATTAGTAAGCTAGAAAGTTACAATATACCACCAAAGCCTCCTGATATTACTCAGATGTTTCAATCTTTTTTGCTTTTCTTTTAAATTTTATTTTTCATTTATTAGAGTGCACACGTGCATGTGCACAAGTGGAGGGGGGTGCACAGGGAGAGGGAGAAGCAAACTCCCCGGTGAGCAGCATTGTGGGGCTCAATCCCTGGACCTTGAGATCATGACCTGAGCCGAAGGCAGACACTTAACTGACTGAGCCATCCAGGCGCCCACAGGTGTTTCGGTCTTAAAAATGCTTCACCTCTTTGGCTCCCTAGACCTAGGGGTCTCTAACTACAAAATTTTTTCTATAAAAGAAAAGTTGATTTCTGTTGTCTTAACATCCCTCAAATAATACGTGTATGCCTGAGGGCTTCCTAGTTACAGAGGAGTAAACTTGAAAAATTACAAAACCATATTAAAAGGCTGCCTCAGAGGGCCATTTATGGAAAACTTTGTGTTTTGGTAGGTAGAACAAGGCTAAGGTTGCCTGATAAAAGACATATTTCTTTTAGGAAATAACATTTAAAGGTTTCTTGCTGCTGAATGAAAAATTCAACAAAAAAAGACATTGATATTGCTGTAAGAACAGTACTATCTCCTACTGAGGAACTAAGATAACAGTTTCTTCTGTATAAAGTAGTCTGTTGGCAGTGATTTTGAACATGTATAGTATAAATGGCTTCAAGTTAGAATTAGTGTTTTATGAAGAATTTATAAATGGAAATACTTAGAATTGATCAGATAAACTTAATTTTCTTCTAGACATAAAAATATCGAAAGATTGTTTACTGGTGAATGCATAAAGTCTCACTAGTTGATAAACTGATTTTGAATTGGGTTTGCAAATCAGTTTTGTTGCTGCTACTCAGTCATTTTTTAATTATTATTTGTGCCTTAAATTTTTAAAATGCCTTTATTGAGGTATAATTGATGTATAATTAACTGCATGTTTTCTTTCTTTTTTTTAAAAGTATTATCCTAATTTTTTTCCAGCTTTATTGAGATATAATTAACATATAACATTGTGTAAGTTTCAGGTGTACAGTGTGATGATTTGATACACATGTATATTGCAAAGTGATTACCGGGGTTAGTTATTATCTCCATCACCTCACTAATTACCATTTCTTTTTTGTGGCAAGAATGTTTTAAGATCTATTTTCTTAGTAACTTTGAAGTATATAATACAATATTGTTTACTATAAGTACATTAGATCTCCATACCTTATTCATCTTATAGTTGAAAGTTTGTACCGTTCCACCAACAACCTCTCTCCATTTCTCCTGCTCTCCAGGACCTGGGGACCACCATTCTCCTGTTTCTATGTATTATGAATAAATTGCACATATTCAAAGTATACAATTTGATAAAGTTTTAACATATGTATACATCCATGAAATCAATTACCACAATTGACAGTGACCATGTGCATTGCTCCTAAGAGTTTCTTCATATCCCTTTATAATCCTCATCCCTATTCCAGTCACCAGGCTCGTTGACATGTTTGGGACATTACAAATAAAGTTATTATGGACATTTGGGTATAAATCTTTCTACAGACATATGATTCATTTCTCTTGGGTAAATAAATACCTAAGAGTGCAGTGGGGGGATCATAATGATAGGTGTATATTTAACTTTTTAAGAAATTGCCAAATTTGGGCACCTGCCTGGCTCAGTCAGAACTTGTGACTCTTGATTTCAGGGTTGTGACTTCAAGTCCCACTTTGGGCATAGAGCCTATGAAAAAAAGAGAAAAAAAGAAATTGTCAAGTTTTTTCAAAGTGGTTGTACCATTTTATATTCTAACTAGCTGTGTATAAAGAGTGTGAATTCATATTTTCACCAATGCTTGATATTTAATTTTAGCCATTTTAATAGGTATGTAGTGGTACCCCACTGTGGTTTTAATTTGCATTTCCCTAATCGCCACTGATGTTGAGAATCTTTTATGTGCCTGTTTGCTATCTGGATATGTTTCTTGATGAGTGTCTATTCAAATATTTTGGCCTATATTTTATTGGGTTTGTTTTCTTACTGAGTTTTGAGAATTCTGTGTATATTCTGAATATAAACCCATTAATCAGGTATATGCTTTGCAAATATTTTCTCCTAGTATGAGGCTTGTCTTTTTGAAGAGATGTTTTTAATTTTGATGAAGTCCAGATCATGTTTAGAGATCTTTGCTTAATCCAAGGTCACAAAGGTTTTCTCCTGAAAGTTTTAGTTTTAAGTCTTGCATTTGATTCTGTGGTCTGTTGTGAGTTAATTTCTGTATATGGTGCAAGGATGCATGGCTTTTTTTTTTTTAAGTTTTTATTTAAATTCCAGTTAGTTAACAAAGTGTAATACTAGTTTCTGGTGTACAATATACTGACTCAACACTTCCATATAGCACCTGGTACTCATCACAAGTGTACTCTCTTTTTTTTTTTTCCTGAGAGAGAGCAGGGTGTGGGGGGGGCGGGGGGGCATGGGGCAGAGAGAGAATCTTAAGCAGGCTCCACCCACCCATGTCGTTGCAAATGGCAAGATTTCATTCTTTTTTATGGCTGAGTAATTCTCTATTTTGTGTGTGTGTGTGTGTGTGTGTGTCACATTTTTATCCATTCATCAGTTGGTGGACACTTGGGCTGTTTCTGTAATTTGGCTGCTGGAGATACTGTAGAAACATCAGGGCGCATGTATCCCTTTGAACTAGTATTTTTGTATTCTTCGGGTAAATACCTAGTAGTGCGATTGCTGGATCACTTTTTGAGGAACCTGCATGCCTTTTTCCAGGATGGCTGCACAAAAGTTTGCATTCCCAAAGAATGGATGGACATGTGTGTTTTGGTATTGGGAATATCCATTGGTCCCAGTACCATTTGTTGAAAAGACTTTTTCCATTGAACTGGTTTTGCATATATACATGGGTATACACACACAGTCAATTCTCGTTATTTGCAGTTGTATAGTTGTACAAATTCTCATGAGCACTGAGTTGGTGATGCTTAACTATTATTCCTCTGGGAAATACAGGATTAGGTTTCTGTAAGCCTCTTTGGTTACATCTTTGTCATCGAAGCAATACATAACCTTGTTTCATGTGTTTCTGTTTAAAAATACTTCTCTGTATGTATACACACACATGCATATACACGTATATATAACTAGCTGTGTGTAACTATATACACATACTGACATGAATTAATCAACTATATATATAGTTGATTAATTCGTGTCAGAACAGAGTTTGCTTAGCACAAATATTTGTTTTCCATAAGGAATATCAGTTCTTTCCTCTTAGGTACACTAGACAGCACTTCAGCACTGTACTTAGGGGACATTTTAAACAGTGAAATCAACAAAAAGCATAAAAGCAAAAAAAGTGGCACTTTAGAAAGAATCTTTTTAGTATTCTAAATAATACTAATAATACTTATTAGAATATCGTATGAGAGCTGAAATAAGTCAGAGCATATAGCCTTGTTTAACATTGTTGGCAACTCTTACATTTCACTGCTCTGAGCATAGCTGTTAAAGACCATGGAAGTTCCACAAATACTGAGATTGATCTGTAGTCCCCTTATTTAGCTTTCAGGATGCAAAAGCTGTGGGGAATCTAATGCTGTGACTCTCCATAGGTGCTCATCTTTTTTTTTTTCTTTATTTCTTTTTATCTAATCATTGGTTTTGTTATCTAGGCAGGTCCGGTCAGAAAACAAAGAAAAGAATGCAGTGATGTCTTTTACAGTCACAGATGAACCTGTCTATATTGATTTGACTTTGTCAGAAAATAAGGAAGAGGTAAATGGCTTGATTTTTGAGAATTTGTTTTTGGATTTCACAAATTGTATTTTTAAAATTAGTGTTTTGATGATTTAATGATTTGGGAAAGAAGGGGACACGAGGGAGGGAGAACAAAATATAACAAAAATCTTAGCCTCTCCGGGATGAGCGTTCAGTCACTGTGATGTGCTTTCCAGGGGAGGGGTCAGCATGCAGAGGCATTTGCAGCGATCCCAGCCAACTGCTCTGCCGTGCGGGGCCTGCCAGGTCCCTTTTGTCAATCTCTGCAGTTGGTAGTAGTGACTTTGCTCCTCTGACTTGCAGGCTGCATTTTCCTTACTGTTCTCTTCTTCCCCTACACTTTTATTTCTAAGCTTCACAGCAACCACTCCGGTTGTCATTTTGATGACAGTAAGGATTTTTAAATGCCGGAGTTTTGCAACCTTGGTGTTCTAACTTTTTCTCTGATTATTTCAAGGGCGGGAGGGGGGAGAATAGTTGGTTTGGTAAGTGTATTAAAGCAGTTATCCATTAGAGTAGACTGAAGTGTATTAACTCATTAGAGTAATCAGTTAAATTTTTCTCTTAGCCTGTCAAGTTAGCTGTTGTTTGCAGAGATGGTCAAGTTCATCTTTTTGAACACATATTAAATGGGTAAGAAATTTCTCGTTTATTTTCTTTCCCTGATTTCTTATTCTTTTTTATTCCCACCTCAATATTCTTTGCATTATATTCCTTTTCAGTTAGATTATTTTGAAAGCATTATTAGTTCTTTATCCACATGACTACATACATTCCCAGTAAGAACTCAAGTTTTGGAGTCATGGACCATTTTTTCATATTTGTGGTTAGTAAAGTAGTTTTACAATATATGCTTAGTAAATGTTGGCAGTTCTAATAATACATTTTAAAAGAAAGTGGTTCAGTTGGAAAACTTTGCTTGTGAGCTCGGTAAAACCTTAATTTCTGACTTTGATAATACATATGTGGATCAGTGCAGCATGGCAATGCTAGTGTTTTGGTGAATAGAGGGGAGTATTGCTGTTGTAATGTGTAGTAGTCCTAGACCAAGGGTCAGTAAATTATGATCTGTGGGTCAAATCAATATATGGCCCCCCAAAACTAAAATACTGTCTGCTCTTTATAGAAAGTTTGCCAATCTCTGCCATACTCTATAAACATGGTCTAAGACTCGGTCATGTAAACTTAAATGGTTTCAACTTTTTGTCTGTTGGTATCCTTCCTTTTACAATCGTAGGGTAACAACTTATTTAAATATAAATAGTTATGAAAGCATAAAACATTATTTTAAAACATTTAGGATCTATAGACAGTTGATTATAAAGCCTAATTCTCCCTCCATTGAGTTCTACTCCCTAGAGGGTACTGTTAACATTTTGTGTGTAACACTTGAGGCTTTTATTTACGTAGTCGTATGTGCACGTGGAATATATAACTTGAGGGCCCAGAAGTAGTGGGCTGGAGTGAGGACTTGGTCCCCTCTCCTTGGTCAATAGTAAGCCTTGCTTTTATGCAGAAGACTGATGAGGTTTGACCTAAGTGTTAAGGCATTAAGCTTTAAGTCGTTCTGTCTGATGTGTTGACAATAGATTACAGAGGGGTCAGAGGCCAAAGCAGAGGCCAGAAGTCCTGGATAGAGATGGTTGTGGAGTCCAGATAACTAAGGGGAGTGAGTTGGAAAGATAGGGATAGTGGGGTGCACTTTTTGGTGATAAGATGTCTGTCGTGTGAGTGGCTGAGACACGGTAAAGGCTGGGGTTGTTGGAGGTGGGAAGGGTTCAGACCTGGAAGGACAGTGTGTCAGAAAGATCATCAGCCTGTGTGGTGGATATGGAGACCACTTGAGACAGTGTTGGCCAGAATGACAGTGGAGCCACTAGAATCTTGAAGAAGTAAGGGGGAGTGACCCAGAAATCATTGGTTGGCAGCAGGAGAGGGAGGTAGCTGGTATCGGGTGACAACATTTCCCAAGGTTACAGAGATGACAGAGGGAGAGACACTTGTTTTGAGATGTTCGTGAAGAACAAAGAGCACACTTAAATGATGTCCAAGGCTTCTGACACAAAGAGTATGGAGAGAAAACAGCTACAACTTGGGAGATCTGCCCTCATCAGCCAGCGTAGAGGAGGAAGGTGAAGAAAACCCTTAGAGGAGAAATTGAAAATGGGATTCTGTTGATTACATTTTGCTGATAATTTTGCTCCTGGAACTGTGTTGCAGAGATCATAGTGAGGCTTTTGGGGGTTGGAAACAATTGGGGATAGCGCTGATTGGAACAGATGTAGAGAGTCATGTGGGGTTGAAGCTCAAGGCAGCAAGAGAGCACTTGGAGCTTGGGCCCCTTGTGAAGCTTGACAGTGGGATAGAAGGGCACATGGTCTCCAGGCAGATTTTGATGGTGAGGTCTTGCTAGATGAGGTCTTAACAGCAGCACTGGTGCTGTGGGGACCCTGGGCACTGTGGTCGTAGTGTGGAGGCCACAGGAGGGCTATATTTCCTGACTCGATGCCAACTTTCAAGCATTCCTATGAGATGTTACTTCGAATTTTCTAATTAATTTTTTTTCACTTCTAGATACTGCAAAAAGCCTTTGACTTCAAACTGCACAATTCAGATAGCGACACCTGGGAAAGGCAAGAAATCAACACCAAAACCCATCCCTATTCTAGCAGCTGGTTTTTGCTCAGACAAAATGTCATTGTTGCTTGTATATGGCAATTGGTTTCAGCCCATCATTGAGCGAGTGGTACGTAGATGCTACTCTGGAGTAGAACAATACAGCATCAACAAGGCCATGGAAAAAAATGATTTCGAAATGACTCATTGGTCTGCTTATTGGAATACTTAAAAAGAAGTCATGTATTTTCCCTTAACTGAAGGACCTTTCACTCTGGTTTATTTTAGTTTGTGAGAGCTATGTATTTAATATTACTTAACCCAGCATATCCAAAATATTTTAATCCTTAGTATGAAAAATTATTTGAGATATTTTATTCCCCTCCTTTATTTGGTATTATGTCTTTGATATTTGATTATATTTTCACTTACAAGCATATCTCAGTTTGGAATAGCCACGTTTCAAGTGCTCAGTAGCCCCACATCCCTAGTGGCTAATGTTCTGGTCAGCAAATGTATGAGTGAATTTTACCCAATTACTCAAAAGCTAAATCTTAATAAAAGAGCCCTTAGTAACATTACCCATTGAATTTTCTCAGTGGAAATGTAATGGGTGGTTCAGTCACTTAACTTTTTTGATGGCCAAAGTTTCTTTGGAGACTTTTGGAGAGTTAGAAGCATGTCCAGTAGGTGATTTCTTCAGCTTGTATTTATACTGCTTTTATTCAGTAAGGCCCTCTGGGAGATGATGAGTGGAATATTACATGCCCAAGCAAGCTACTGTTGAGTTTATTTTAATTTAAACTCACATTTAATTAAAACTTAAGTTTAAGCTCTTGTTGAATTTATTAAACTCTTTGCTTTTTAAAAATTTAACACATGGATATGGTTTAATAAAAAAAGGAGAAAGACGTTAAGCTGTAAACCTAAGTCTTCTTGCCATATGTGGACCCCCACCCCCAAACCCTCCTCTGCGCATAAAGCCATTGTTTCCTGCTTGTTTTATGTCCTTCCGGATATTGATTCATTATTATATGGTTATAGAGAATTACATATAACCTTAAAGCCTTATGGGTATGGGTAACATGTACTTTGCTGCATCTGGTTGTCCCCCCTATTTAGTACCACATCAGGGTGTAGAGGTCCACCCAAGAGCATTATTTATCAGCAGTGCTGTCTTTGACTTGCTTGTGGAAAGTAGAGCAGTAGGAAGTTTTAGGGTAGGACCATTCTTTTTTAGCCTAGACTGTTCTGTTTACAAGGGTGACAAACTGGAATGTTTTCTTTAAAATGTGTTACATTTAAAAAGCCTGTTGATCTCTTAAAGCTATACATGTGAAATCGAGCAGTTCATAACTGAAGAAAGTACACATTATGCTTAATATCTTCAGAGTTGACCCACTTTTCTCTGCTGCCATCGGTCTGAATGGTGATCAGTCTGAGTGGCTCAGTTTTGTGGGGAAGCTTTCTGTACTTTTTGTATTTTTATAAAAATGCACAAGTAGGAATTTGCTTTTCATATTATTCCCAATTGCTTTGTTTGACACTCTTTTTTCCCCCCCCCCCCGTCACACTCCCTCCCCTTTAAAATTATATTCCCAGGCTTTAAATTCCAAAGAACCTCATGTGTGTTTAGTAAGAGATATTTCAAACTGCTGGGCCCCCAAAGTAGAAACGGCTATAACAAAGGTGAGTGCATTTCATATTAGAAGTTGAGAAAAAAGAGATTTGCGTAAATCTAATTGTAATATATTATTATGTTTAGACTCTTTAATATCCTCTTTATGATCTTGTCTAACAAATTTGTGGGATTAGGTTTCAGGTAACGAGATTATAAAACCACTTTGTTTCTGTGCTCTTTTGTTGAATGCATGAGTGAATAGACAACTACAAGTTGAAGACTTGGGAGTTAGCCCCTCCCCCTATGTATGATCATTAAATGTCACATTTATCAATAAATTATTTTACTGATGTCAGTATTTAAAAGCGTAACTTTGAGGAATCCTATATTTAAGGGTGGAATAAAGCTTAAAATTACGGGTCTGGAATTGAACATTGTATAAGATGATCATCTTGATGCTTTATTTTGAATATAACATGGCATCTACATGTAGATATCATATGTTTGGCAGTTTAATGAGTAAAGGAAAACCAAGACATGCTATGATGACATCCATATATGGTTTCGCTTCTGGCTGAGTTCCAGAGATGACACCTTTCTCTTGGCTGTCTGAGCGTTTCTGGCAAAGCTGGATTCCTGGGGGGTGCTCATAAAGCATACAACTTCACTCTAACATTTTTAAGTAATCGATAATCTGTAAATGTTCCTGGTTTTTACTCTTATGTGGTATTGAAAGCTTTAAAACGATGAACTTTCAGATTATAATTTAAAAATTGCTTGCCAACATTCACTTAAAATTTATCTTTAATTCATGTCATATTAAGTTAGTTATATTAGATTTTCTAGTAGAAAAACCCTTTAGATGCTGTTAGTTTTCTCACTGGGGCTCAGTTTTGCCAGGACTAAGGCATCATTTCCTTTGTCACGTTCCCGCTGTTCCTGTTCAACAGGTGAGAACACCGGTGATGAATTCTGAAGCAAAAGTTCTGGTGCCAGGGGTACCTGGTCATCATGCAGCTATCAAGCCTGCGCCTCCACAAACTGAGGAAGTAGAGAGCAAGAGGAGATTGGGGGAAAATGAGGTAGTACACTCACTCTGACAATTTTTGATTTTGAAATTTAAGATTACTTGTGAGACTCTTTTAACAAATAAATTGGGATAGAGCCAAACTTGGAACTTCAGGAACTTAACTGAGATTGCTGCTGTTAACCCTCTCCCTCATCCCCAGCAGCATAGGATCCGAAATTCCAGACTGTAGTCTGTGAAACATTTACTTGGCCACTGTTAATGGAGAAGACAAACTTGCACTAACCATAGAGGGTGCTGTTTTGGCCATTGTTAGTGGTCAGCTGGATCACGTCATTGAATACATTAAGCCAGGACTTGCTGTGATGATTTCCATTGGGTTTCGCTTATTGCTGACTATCAGTGATGCCTCTTCTCTTGGCTGTCTGAGCAATCCTGGCTAATTTAGTGATAGTTGGTTTTTAGAAGTGGTCATTATAACGTCTTAAAGTACTTAGAAATTTGATTTTTTTTCTCCGTAGACGTCCTTCCTGTGGTTACTGTACTAGTCTCTGCAGCCCTTCTTCATGTGTGTAACCCTAAATGATCTAGAGCTTTAACTTTTATTTTTAGAGAAAAGATGTCATGTTTCTTTATCTGATTTTAAATGTCTTTATTGGGTGGGGGGGGTTGGGGCTAAAAAGCTATTCATAAAAATTATTTCTCAATAACATGGTATTTGTATTTAAAAATAATGTGCCAACTTTCTTTATCTTGGCCTAGATCTACTTCTTTAATTTCCTCCTGCCTTTTTTGTTTTTAATAAGATAACCCAAATAGGAGGCTGGCTTTGCCAAAGCCTGTCTGCTTTGGTAGTTGTAGAACATTTGTATTTTGATTTAGTTACTAAGAGGCTGGCAGAACATGGTTGTCTTGTTTTTTTTTAAAGATTTTATTTATTTATTTGAGAGAGAGAGAGAATGAGAGATAGAAAGCACGAGAGGGAAGAGGGTCAGAGGGAGAAGCAGACTCCCTGCTGAGCAGGAAGCCCGATGTGGGACTCGATCCCGGGACTCCAGGATCATGACCTGAGCTGAAGGCAGTCGCTTAACCAACTGAGCCACCCAGGCGCCCGGTTGTCTTGTTTTAATAAGAGATCGGTTCTCTACAATTGAGATTTTGTTTTTTTTAAATATTTATTAGAGAGTGCGCGCTTGCATGAGCGCATGGGGAGACGGGAGGGGGCGGTGCAGAGAGAGAGGGAGAGTCTTAAGCAGACTGTGCTGAGTGCAGAGTCTGATGCTGGGCTCAGTCTCCTGACCCTGAGATCACAACCTGAGCTGAAACCAAACAGATGCTTAACGGACTGCACCACCCTGGCGCCCCTAGAACTGAGTTTTGTGTAGTAAATTGAATCATGTTTATTTACACTTAAATTTTAGATCTTTATGAAGGAAACTTAGTTGTAGTAGAGCATCTTCTAGAAAATAAATCACCATTTGGAACTGACTAATAAAGACAAAAATAGGAAGGCATTTTATAAATTGTTTTGACAAAATAGCTGTCTTTATTTATATTTATTTTTTTTAAGATTTTATTTATTTATTTGACAGAGAGAGACACAGCAAGAGAGGGAACACAAGCAGGGGGAATGGGAGAGGGAGAAGCAGGGTACCCGCCGAGCAGGGAGCCTGATGCGGGGCTCGATCCCAGGACCCCGGGACCATGACCCGAGCTGAAGGCAGACACTCAACGACTGAGCCACCCAGGCGCCCCTGGCTGTCTTTATTTTTAATTTTCTTTTGATAATACTTGTTTCCTTTTTGCAGATCTGAGGCTGATGACAAAGCTTTTTCTATAATAGGTCTTTTCTTCTGTTTTAGTAAAAGATGCCAGGTGCTTGGCCTTTTTTTGAATCTTACATAGATGTGTTTATGAATTACATTTTTAAATCATGATTTGTTAGGCAGTTGTTTTTTTTCACTGGGATCTGGTAACTTGGATTGGGAATCATCAATCTGGGAGCCACCCAGTCATCCCTTGACCGAACTACTTTAAGCCTTGTCTGGTTTAACATTAATGATCATTTCTGTTCTGCAGATTAGCATTGAAGAGCGTCTGGGAGCACTGGATATAGATGCAAAGAAAGAAAAGGATGACCTTCCACAGACAAATAGCTTTCCAGTTCTTCTCACACAGGGTTTAGAAAGTAATGATTTTGAAATGCTAAATGTAAGTATTCTGGCAGTTTTTAAAATGAATTAACACAGTTAATTTTTCTTAGAAAGTGATTGACCTAGCACACTCAGTAATAGTCATATGATGTAGCTGTTTTGAATTTAATATTTTGTGAGTCTAGTCAAACATTTATCATTTGGTGGCACTATACAGACAGTCACCAACCTACAAAGGCATTGTATTAAATTATTTTGAACCTGGAATGCATTTTCTCATAGAAACATTGTTTTGAATTGTTATTAGGTCTTAGGCTTTAGTTCACAAAAGCCTTTATAAACATAGTGTAGCTGAACTATAATAATCAGCATTCTAGATCACAATTTATATTTTTTTCTGTAGGAAAATGCGTTCCTGAGTTTTTACTCTGGATTCCAGAAACTTATGTCCCCCTGGCCGTGAGAGGGGGCGGTGAGGTGGAACCTTGGCAATGGGTAGGAGGTTTGGGGGAAAAATTCAGGAGGGTTGGGGGTTATGTTGTGAAGTATTTAGAGGTAAAAATACTAGAAATTTGTATAAGGGAGGCATTTATTATTTCTGTGTTTGTAAGTTGGTGACTGCTTGTATGAAGTTACTTAATTAGGTCTTCTTAGATTTCAGAATTTAATATTGGTCTGTAGAAAAAAATTAAGTGTAAAAATTGGATTTAAGTACTGTCTGATTAGATTAAAGCAGTTTACATTTTCTTAAGTGCCTTTATTCTTAGTGATTCAGTGATATTATGGTGCCACTTAGTATTGATTTGACCTTATTCATATGTTAACTTTATTCGGGTAACCTATGAATAGTGTCTTTCTGATTTATATTTTGATCTAAATGGAAATATCATTTTTGTCTTAAGGTGATTTTGCAAAATGAGAGGAGAAACCAGCACATCCTAAAATTACTTTTAACATTAGTTGTAAAATAGTTTGTGAATGTATGTAATTTGGGAGGTGGTTTTTAGTTAACATGGCATAGAAACCTAGGTGAAAAATAAGCTATAGAAAACAATGGACAATGTTTTTAAAATGTAATATAACTTATTTGCCATTATTATCTCCTTAACTGTCCCTTTTAACCTTTCTCAGTACAACTAAATCAGCTACCATTTTTTTTTTTTAAGAAACATTTCAGAACATTTAAAATTATTACAGTGGCCCCCCATGAACTCATCACTGAGTTTCAGAAATTACCTACACTAGCCAGATCTATCTGTCCTTGTGTCATCTGTCTGCCCACATGCCTCCCCAGGTTATAGTGAAGCATAGAGACATCATTTTATTCATAAATACATCCCTCTTCAACCCTGACAATAACAACTCCTTTTTGAAAACAACCACAATCCATTATCACACCTAAAAAAAGTAAACAGTAATTCCTCAAAATCATCAAATACCTGTTAGCATGTTTACATTTCCCTGATTGTTTCATAAACTTAAGTTTTTTTATGTTTGCTTTCTTTAAAACAGAATCCCCATAAAGTCCACACAGTACTGGGGAGAGATGTATCTTCTGTCTCTTGCAGTTAATGTTTTAGAGAAGCTAAGTTATTTGCCCTATAGAGATTCTCACATTCTGGATTTTGCCTCCCGCAAAACTCCCATTTTGTTGGGTCATTTAATCTAAAAATGGTATCATTTAACATGTTCCTTTAGCATATATCCTGTACACTGGTAGTTGGATCTAGAAGCTTGTAGAGGTTCAGGTTAAAGTCTTTTGGCACTTCAAAGGTGACAGTGTGTCCTTTTATCAGGTGTCACAGAGTTGTTGGAAGAACAAATGAACTGATCTTTATGGAAGCACTTCTTAAATTGTAAAGGATTGTACACATAAGACTTTTTTGTTATTAAGGCTCTTTAGGTGATACATTTTATTTCACTAGAAGTAATTGGAAACTAGAATCCTGGAAAATTGTGTGCTGGAAAAGACCTGTAAAAGTTACAGTGAAGGGCTTAAAATAACCTAAAAAAGAAAAAAAAGTATGGAGGTTCCCCCATAGTATATTACCTGGGAGATGATGCATTCACATTCTGTACTCTCTTACAAAAAAAAAAGAGACAAGTAAAAAAAAAAATTTTTTTTCTCCTAAAAATAGTCTTCCCATTCCCCAAAATTACCTTATGAGGATACATGAAATATAGTAGGAGGACAATAAGAAAGAAAGAAGTAAGTAAGCAGTGGCAGAGATACATCATACAACTAGAAGTGAGGATAAGAATCCCTGCCATAGAAAACTTAACATTAAATTTGTGGCTTTAGGAAGGTGGAGATTTGACTCTAGAGAAAACAGCTTACGAGAGAAGAGAAGCCTAGTCATTTATGTAATTCATGGCACCAACAGAAGACGGATATTTTTAAGATTTTTAAAAATTTATTTAAATAATTTTTCTGTGTGCCATTTACAGTAGTACCTAAAAGTTAGGATAAATTTATAAAAGATGCCTCTCCCTCTATATCAAAAATCACAAAAATTGAGAGAAATTAACAAAGATCTGAGTATAAAGTGATGTAAACCACCTTTATGGGTTGAAAGATTCAATACTGTTAAAATGAGGAATTCCCCCCTTATTTATCTGTGTATTCAGCACATTCCCAATTAAATTTCAGTAGCATCTCCAGGTAAAATTGGAGGACTTAGCCTACTTAATTTCAAGGTAAAGTTACAGTAATCAAAGTAGTTTGATATTAGTGAAAAATAAATATAGATTAAGGAATCAAAATAGAGAGTCCAGTGATAAATCACACACAGTTGTTTTTTAGTAAAGGTACTTAGTTGAGTTAATGGAGACAGTAAAATCTTTCCAGCAGTTGGTCATGAACCAACCACATATCCATATGGAAAAAAATGCATCTCAGCTCTTACTTCACAAAAGTTGACCCAAAATAGGTATGTAAAACCCAAACCTACAAACTTCTAGAAGAAAACAGGATAAAGTCTATGCAAATGTTAGCGGATGAAATCTTGGCATCACAAAAAGCATTACACACCACAGGAAAAAAGTGGTCATTTGGACTTAATGAAAGTTGAAATCTTTTGTTCTTTCTGAAATGGCAGGGTTTGTGACTTCTAAGTGATTATTACAGTGTTGGTTCCTCCTTCCAGGTTGGGAGATGATAACCACCGTCCCAGGAATTCTCAATACATTTTTATTACTTAAAAAAAAAGGAAAAGAAATGACACTGTTAAGAGAGTGGAAAGGCAAGCTGCAGGGGGGAGAATGTTTCAATTCCTACATCAGACAAAAGATTCATGTCCAGAAAATAGAAAAAACTCTTAAGAATGAAATTCAAAAAGCAATTGGTAAAGGTGGGAACAGATACTTCCAAAAGAATTCAAACGGCCAATAAGTGCATGTAAGGGTATTATACATCATTGATCATCACAAATGCAAATTAAAATGACAATGAGCTAACACCACATACCCATTATGGATTGATTAAAATTTAAAAGACAGTTCCATCTGTTGGTGAGAATGTGGTGCAGTTGGAATCTCATATCTTGCTGGTGGGAATATAAAATGGTACAACGGAAAACAACTTGGCAATTTCTTAAAAGTTAAGGGTTCATCTACTTGAAGACCCAGCCATTCTCCTGCTAGGTATTTACCTGGAGAGTCAAAAACATGTTCATAAAAAGACTGGTACCATGAATGGTCATAGCAACTTTATTTTTTTAATAGCTGGACCCTGGAGAGAACCCATATGTCCCTCATCATATGAATGGATAAACAAATTCTTTATCTAGCAGTGTAAGGAATGTATTATTGATACATCAACAACATGGATGAATCTCAAACTTACGCTGTGAGAAAGAAGCCAGACAGAGTACATGCTCTGTATGATTCTATTTGCATAAACATTCTAGGAAATGCAGACCAGTATATAGTTCAATGGTTGTCTGAGAATGGGGGTGGAGGGATAGAGTTAAGGGACCCAGGGAGACTTGAGGGTGATGGAGTATTTATCACAGTGTTTGTTTCATGGGTAAATGTTTATGTCAAGCTGATTAAATAGTGTATTAAGTGTGCACTGTATATTCTTCATTTATAGTGTAGTAGACTTGCAAAAGAAAAACCTTCAATATCTTCTTGCTAATTACAACTGTGGTTTATAGGGTTGTTTCTTTAAATATATTTTCAGTGGAAGTTAATGCTAACTTCTGTATCCATTTAACACTTCACTTTGTTTTGGGATAACTTACTTTTACTTGCTTATTTTAAATTTGAAAATTACCATAGAGCCTGTTGTTAGTTGGCATAAGAATTACTTGAGAGCTTGTTAAAAAACTCTTCTGCCCTGCAGTTTGATTTAACTTCTAAATAGCTAGGCCATAGGTTCTCTCTGTCTCTTTTTTTTTTTAAGAGAGAGGGAGGGAAGATGGGGAGGGGCAGAGGGAAAGGGAGAGAGAGAGAATCTTAAGGAGGCTTCCCGTCCAGTGCAGAGCCAACGCTTGCGGGGCTCGATCTCACAACCCTGTGAGACCATGACCTGAGCCAAAATCCAGAGTTGGACCCTTAACCAACTCCACCCAAGTGCCCTAGGCCTCAGATACTCTTGTTTGCCTTTGACAGTTCTGGTTTATACTTCTTATCTCCGTATAATAATTAAGTGACTTCTTTCGTTGTTACAAGTGTCCCAGTTTAGACAACAAATTATATGATCACTTTACATTTAGAGCACTGGGGGATTTCAAACCCTCATTCCTACATTGTTTTTTTAACTAAGGTTGGTATAAATAATGTGCAACAGCAGGTTCAAGTTAGTATTCCTTGACCTGAGTGGCTGCTACCGTACTTGGCCAGTGAGGACAGTGAAACCTGACGGTTTGGTGGACATGCTGTGGAAATGGAGGACCTCAACAAGAGCATGTCTTCTCTCAAGCAGTAATTTGTAGACTAGTTCAGACAGATTGTTTCCTCTAACCTGTGCATTGTTGGAACTTTGGGATAACTGATAGTTATAATAAATGTGATTTGAGGAATGTTTAGTATCATCACACACCTTCTGAATTACTGTGGAAGTTCTAATCAACATATTTTGCTTTGAATCTTGTATTTGAAAATATAAATTTAGGTTAATTTGGACTATTGAATAAAGACAGTCCACCCCTTACTTCTTCAGTGATTGTGTATAAAGAGTTTTCTTTTGCATGAGAAACTATGCAGTTATGCCCGTGGTAGTTTTTATATAGTTCTTGATGGATTTTTTTTAGAAGGGCTTGGTGTAAAGATACTTTTATAAGCAAATAAAATTCCCCATAGGGCATTCTGAAAGGATACTGTTAAAATAGGCTGTAAACCGATTTTTTATATTTTCCCCTTTGGTACTTCTGCTCTTTATATCTTTGTAGTACCAACCACCACCAAAACAGCATGCACCCATCATCAGGGAAGTTCCTCTGGGAGTTAAGCCCTTCGGAAAGAATAAATACATAGAAGTATTCAAGAGGAAGGGGGGAATCAAGATTTTGAGACCTGAAAGGCCTTGTAGTTCCCATCCTTTCCTATGGATGAAGCCTCTGAGATTTGGAGACATTGAAAGGCCTGCCAGGATTAGGACTAATCTCTCTCTCCTTTTCTGTACCCTGCTGTGGAGACTGGGTTTCTCCAGTTGATGTACCCTCCCAGGATTTTGACTCAGGCATGCATTATATATGATCTTTTGATTGGTTTAAAATTTTATCAAAAAGTTGACAATTTTATTTTTTATTTTTTTTATTTTTTTAAGATTTTATTTAATTATTTAATTGATAGACAGCGAGAGAGGGAACACAAGCAGGGGGAATGGGAGAGGGAGAAGCAGGGTACCCGCCGAGCAGGGAGCCTGATGCGGGGCTCGATCCCAGGACCCCGGGACCATGACCCGAGCTGAAGGCAGACACTCAACGACTGAGCCACCCAGGCGCCCCTGGCTGTCTTTATTTTTAATTTTCTTTTGATAATACTTGTTTCCTTTTTGCAGATCTGAGGCTGATGACAAAGCTTTTTCTATAATAGGTCTTTTCTTCTGTTTTAGTAAAAGATGCCAGGTGCTTGGCCTTTTTTTGAATCTTACATAGATGTGTTTATGAATTACATTTTTAAATCATGATTTGTTAGGCAGTTGTTTTTTTTCACTGGGATCTGGTAACTTGGATTGGGAATCATCAATCTGGGAGCCACCCAGTCATCCCTTGACCGAACTACTTTAAGCCTTGTCTGGTTTAACATTAATGATCATTTCTGTTCTGCAGATTAGCATTGAAGAGCGTCTGGGAGCACTGGATATAGATGCAAAGAAAGAAAAGGATGACCTTCCACAGACAAATAGCTTTCCAGTTCTTCTCACACAGGGTTTAGAAAGTAATGATTTTGAAATGCTAAATGTAAGTATTCTGGCAGTTTTTAAAATGAATTAACACAGTTAATTTTTCTTAGAAAGTGATTGACCTAGCACACTCAGTAATAGTCATATGATGTAGCTGTTTTGAATTTAATATTTTGTGAGTCTAGTCAAACATTTATCATTTGGTGGCACTATACAGACAGTCACCAACCTACAAAGGCATTGTATTAAATTATTTTGAACCTGGAATGCATTTTCTCATAGAAACATTGTTTTGAATTGTTATTAGGTCTTAGGCTTTAGTTCACAAAAGCCTTTATAAACATAGTGTAGCTGAACTATAATAATCAGCATTCTAGATCACAATTTATATTTTTTTCTGTAGGAAAATGCGTTCCTGAGTTTTTACTCTGGATTCCAGAAACTTATGTCCCCCTGGCCGTGAGAGGGGGCGGTGAGGTGGAACCTTGGCAATGGGTAGGAGGTTTGGGGGAAAAATTCAGGAGGGTTGGGGGTTATGTTGTGAAGTATTTAGAGGTAAAAATACTAGAAATTTGTATAAGGGAGGCATTTATTATTTCTGTGTTTGTAAGTTGGTGACTGCTTGTATGAAGTTACTTAATTAGGTCTTCTTAGATTTCAGAATTTAATATTGGTCTGTAGAAAAAAATTAAGTGTAAAAATTGGATTTAAGTACTGTCTGATTAGATTAAAGCAGTTTACATTTTCTTAAGTGCCTTTATTCTTAGTGATTCAGTGATATTATGGTGCCACTTAGTATTGATTTGACCTTATTCATATGTTAACTTTATTCGGGTAACCTATGAATAGTGTCTTTCTGATTTATATTTTGATCTAAATGGAAATATCATTTTTGTCTTAAGGTGATTTTGCAAAATGAGAGGAGAAACCAGCACATCCTAAAATTACTTTTAACATTAGTTGTAAAATAGTTTGTGAATGTATGTAATTTGGGAGGTGGTTTTTAGTTAACATGGCATAGAAACCTAGGTGAAAAATAAGCT